AGCAAAAACAATCTATGATTAACCAATGATTATCGTTTAAAATATTTTTATTTAAAGGTTAGGTTAGGTTAGGCTAAGGTTAAATGTTTATTTTGAGCTTAAAAATGTTAACTTAATACCCCATGTATGGGCCGGTAAAAATATTCGCTACCCCTGACTTGAAACTCTGCGCACGCCTATGGTTTAAGCCCTCCACAATATTGAACCAATTTGCGCCTATAAACTATTATTTTTATATTTAACTTTAGGTACTTAATATAACTATATTAGTTTATATAACTTGATGTATGGAAGTATAACTATATATTTTATTATCATAAAAAAATAGTTACCTATTTACTATATTATGTACATTGTACATAATTTCAGTACTATCAAAATGGATTTGAATCCACCTTGATTACTATATTATTATAATACTATGTAGGTATCTATCGACAATTTTATAAACTTTATAAACTATAAATCTACTTTCTTATTTGAGAATAAATTATGTTTTTATTTTTGATAATAGCTATTTGTACCAATATTTTGATTACCTATAAATTTAATTAATGAATAACCTATCAATTCTTACGAGACAAAAATATTTAGGTTAATTTCATTATTTATTATTGTTATAACAATAATTTATTTTGTATAATTTATTAGACAGTTACAAGGAAGCTGCAAAAAAAGAAAGAGAGTTATTTATTTCTGCTTCAGCCTCTGAGCCAGACTGCTTTTCGAACAATATTTCAAAGATATCAAAAACATCAAGAAAAAGAACTTATATTAATTTAAATGAAAGCAATGATAGCAGTAAGTTTATATTTAATTTATATTTAACTTCTATATAAATCATTGTTTTAAGTACCTACCAACCTAGCTATTTTGTAGATGATATTATTAATTTTAATTTTTAATGATGATTATATTATTTTAGATTCTGAACGAAGTGATTTTACAATGATGTGTTTTTTTTTTGTGTGTGTACAGCATAACTAGTCGAAATAATGCTTCGGTTTCAAACTTTGGGGGTGGTTTCCGATGTAAAATTGAAGATTATGTGCATTATAGAGGTCAAAAGTAAACATTTTCCAATAGTTTTCAAAAAAATCGAGAAAAACAA